GCGGCATATGCTACAGTCAACCCCTAGAGACAGACACACAGCAGCCTATGCTACAATCGACCCCTAGACACAGACACACTGTAGCATATGCTACAGTCGACCCCTAGACATAGTCACACAGCGGCATATGCTACAGTCCACCCCTAGACACAGACACAGCGGCATATGCTACAGTCAACCCCTAGAGACAGACACACAGCAGCATATGCTACAATCGACCCCTAGACACAGACACAGCAGCATATGCTACAGTCGACCCCTAGATACAGACACACAGCACCCTATGCTACAATCGACCCCTAGACACAGACACACAGCAGCATATGCTACAATCGACCCCTAGACACAGACACACAGCAGCATATGCTACAATCGACCCCTAGACACAGACACACAGCAGCCTATGCTACAATCGACCCCTAGGCACAGACACACAGCGGCATATGCTACAGTCGACCCCTAGACACAGACACACAGCAGCATATGCTACAATTGACCCCTAGACACAGACACACAGCAGCCTATGCTACAGTCGACCCCTAGACACAGACACACATCATCACATGCTACAGTCGACCCCTAGACACAGACACAGCAGCATATACTACAGTCGACCCCTAGACCAAGACACACAGCAGCCTATGCTACAATCGACCCCTAGACACAGACACAGCAGCATATGCTACAGTCGACCCCTAGATACAGACACACAGCACCCTATGCTACAATCGACCCCTAGACACAGACACACAGCAGCATATGCTACAATCGACCCCTAGACACAGACACACAGCAGCCTATGCTACAGTCGACCCCTAGACACAGACACACAGCAGCCTATGCTACAATCGACCCCTAGACACAGACACACAGCAGCCTATGCTACAGTCAACCCCTAGACACAGACACACAGCAGCCTATGCTACAATCGACCCCTAGGCACAGACACACAGCGGCATATGCTACAGTCGACCCCTAGACACAGACACACAGCAGCCTATGCTACAGTCGACCACTAGACAAAAACACACAGCAACCTATGCAACAGTCGACCCCTAGACACAGACACACAGCGGCATATGCTACAGTCGGCCCCTAGACCAAGACAAACAGCAGCATATGGTACAATCGACCCCTAGACACAGACACACTGCAACATATGCTACAGTCGACCCCTAGACATAGTCACACAGCAGCACATGCTACAGTCGACCCCTTGACACAGACACAGCAGCATATGCTACAGTCGACCCCTAGACGCAGACACACAGCAGCCGATGCTACAGTCGATCCCTAGACACAGACACACAGCAGCATATGCTACAATCGACCCCTAGAGACAGCCACACGGCAGCATATGCTACAATCGACCCCTAGACACAGCCACACAGCAGCACATGTTACAGTCGACCCCTAGACACAGACACAGCGGCATATGCTACAGTCAACCCCTAGAGACAGACACACAGCAGCATATGCTACAATCGACCCCTAGACACAGACACAGCAGCATATGCTGCAGTCGACCCCTAGATACAGACACACAGCACCCTATGCTACAATCGACCCCTAGACACAGACACACAGCAGCATATGCCACAATCGACCCCCTAGACACAGACACACAGCAGCATATGCTACAATCGACCCCTAGACACAGACACACAGCAGCCTATGCTACAATCGACCCCTAGGCACAGACACACAGCGGCATATGCTACAGTCGACCCCTAGACACAGACACACAGCAGCATATGCTACAATTGACCCCTAGACACAGACACACAGCAGCCTATGCTACAGTCGACCCCTAGATACAGACACACATCATCACATGCTACAGTCGACCCCTAGACACAGACACAGCAGCATATACTGCAGTCGACCCCTAGACCAAGACACACAGCAGCCTATGCTACAATCGACCCCTAGGCACAGACACACAGCGGCATATGCTACAGTCGACCCCTAGACACAGACACACAGCAGCATATGCTACAATTGACCCCTAGACACAGACACACAGCAGCCTATGCTACAGTCGACCCCTAGATACAGACACACATCATCACATGCTACAGTCGACCCCTAGACACAGACACAGCAGCATATACTACAGTCGACCCCTAGACCAAGACACACAGCAGCCTATGCTACAATCGACCCCTAGACACAGACACACAGCAGCCTATGCTACAATCGACCCCTAGGCACAGACACACAGCGGCATATGCTACAGTCGACCCCTAGACACAGACACACAGCAGCATATGCTACAATTGACCCCTAGGCACAGACACACAGCAGCCTATGCTACAGTCGACCCCTAGACACAGACACACAGCAGCCTATGCAACAGTCGACCCCTAGACACAGACACACAGCGGCATATGCTACAGTCGGCCCCTAGACCAAGACAAACAGCAGCATATGGTACAATCGACCCCTAGACACAGACACACTGCAACATATGCTACAGTCGACCCCTAGACATAGTCACACAGCAGCACATGCTACAGTCGACCCCTTGACACAGACACAGCAGCATATGCTACAGTCGACCCCTAGACACAGACACACAGCAGCCGATGCTACAGTCGATACCTAGACACAGACACACAGCAGCACATGCTACAATCGACCCCTAGAGACAGCCACACGGCAGCATATGCTACAATCGACCCCTAGACACAGCCACACAGCAGCACATGTTACAGTCGACCCCTAGACACAGACACACATCATCACATGCTACAGTCGACCCCTAGACACAGACACAGCAGCATATACTACAGTCGACCCCTAGACACAGCAGCATATGCTACAGTCGACCCCTAGACACAGACACAGCGGCATTTACTACAGTCGAACCGTAGACAGACACAGCGGCATATACTATAGTCGACCCCTAGACACAGACACAGCAGCATATGCTACAGTCGACCCCTAGGCACAGCCACACAGCAGCATATGCTACAGTCGACCCCTAGGCACAGCCACACAGCAGCATATGCTACAGTCGACCCCTAGACACAAACACAGCAGCAGTCGACCCCCTAGATCTCGTTATGTAGATTTCAGAATACCGTTCCCCATAATTACGCCTACAATAATGTACAATCGATATCCCTATGTGCAGATCAACAAGTAAGTGAATAGATACAACACACTGTCTTCAATTACCTCGCACCCAGCCAAACAGCTGTCTATTTTAAAATTTTTAAATTGTCTTAGAAAAATAGCAGGGTCTCAATTTGGCAACACAAAAACACAATAATAAATAAATAGCAGTAGCTCATTAAATGCTGGCTGAAGCCATATTCGTTTGTGTTATGGAGAAAGAAAGGATGTGATACGTCAATCGCCTTTCCCTGTGCAGACTAAGACCATATTATTCTAGATAGACTAAACGTGGCACTAAAAGAGAAAATTGATCGCTTGCCAACAAAACTAGCCCTGAATGAGTGTCACAGCTGCCGGTTGTGCCTGTGCAACCATTACTTGCAAGAACGTGATGCGTCCTGTCTTTGTTGGGATCTCGTAAATCAGCCAATTTTAGGAGAGGCGTTCAATAGATACTACCTGACCAGACGAAAGGTTCGGGGGCGAATAATGGCCGGATGAGTGTCACTGATCGACTCAAAATGCATTCACACACTGGGATCGCAGATCTTGTGGACATAGATATCGACCCCTGTATAATATTTACAGTATGACAAAACGGGTTAGTCTACTGTCATCCGAGAAAAGTATACTCTTATTTGTCACCGATATACGCCCCATATAAAAGCTCCGACTTATTCCTGTTTGTAGTGGAGTGGTCTCATTTTAAAACCTCTGATAAATATATGTCTTACGATTAACATTATGCAATCGTATTCCAATACTCATTCATTCATTCATTCAGTAGCATGTCCCTCGCGGAACCTCGCTGCCATAACAACCCTCCGGAAAACCTTCCTATCCTGAGCAAGATGTCCTGCGTCTGATACACCCATCTGGAGATCATCTGCCACATCCTGCACCCATCTTCTCCTTGGCCTTCCTCTTCCTCTCTTATTCCAATACTACAACTTCAAAAATGTATAAGTCAGTGGGCAAAATATTACAACACTTGATGACATGCTCATATCATACACAGTTCTGATAATATTATAGATAATATTTAAGCAACTGAAAGAAAAAGACTGAATTTACTAACTTGTTAGTAACTGGGTAGAAATTGACTTGTATGAATTTACCAATTTGTGAGTGATTGGACTGAAAAGGGCGGGAATGAATTTCCCAGTTTGTGAATGATTGGATGGAATTTGACGGGAATGACAACTGGCAGAAGCCTTCCAGCATGATAACAGAATTGCGGCTGCAAATGTAATTAAGTAAGTACAGGGACGTATTCACTCCAATGGCACACCGGGTAAATGATACCTGATCTACTTTCATAGGACAACTGAAACTGGATATATGAGTTAGTCAACAACAGGCCAGTCGCCTTTACTTCCCGGTATATTCCTTGGTACCCATTTTAGGATAAATCGACCTGTGAGAAAAAGTGTATATAAAATTTTAGAAACACCTCTCATAGTGAACTCTAAATCTAGGTATAGTTAAGAAATTATATAAGGGTAATAATATTTAGAGCTCCATTCTGCCAGATATCTTTTCCTGATCGATAACTACCAAAACCTCTTGGCAGGAGCTTTTCCCTTACTAAAAATGTTTCCCGTTCAACAGGAAAATTATTCTCCAGCACCTTGCGAAAAGTAATATGTAAGGGGATAACCCCGAGTGTATAAGTTATAAATGATTAAATCCTAAGAGCTGAGCAATTGTTGAATGTCTTTCGCGTTTCTTTCTTTTTTTTTTTTTTTTTTTAACTGGTTCGTCATAATATTTTGCATAAGTTAACAGCTCTACCACATACCTAACAAGGTGATGTGTTTTCTGTTTCAGATATACATCAAGCAAAACTTCAACTCTCCCAGTAAGACAGTAGCAGTATGGACAGTAGATGTACTTCATGTTTAACCTGCTACATTCTCCTGGTATTTGTTTCACATGCTGCGTCTGTATCAACAGAGAAAGGGGACCCACTCAGCTGGTATATTGCTCATGATCTGACAGGATCTGATGATCTGAACTTGGCTACCAGATTCAATACTCAGACTGTACGCAATGATACGGATATCTTTCGGTTGCCGGGATCTCAGAGGCAGCCTAATCTGCCCTTAGATGTTGCACCTGTAGCAGGTTTACAAATACAGGGATTTCCCGATGGAAACAGCTGGACCTCCAGAAATTCTAGATGGTCAGGTCTATCTTCATGGGGTCAACGGACACCATCAGCTGCTGGGTGGGGAGATGAAATATTAGACAATACACCCAGCCAGACACGAAACAAAAGAAAGTGGTCTCATTTTAGTTCTTGGGGTAAGCGAAGTCTGCATAATACTTTCGGAGATGGTACTGACAAGCGATGGAAAGAAATGCCAGTATGGGGAAAGCGAGATGGCGCAGATAAGACAAAGAAATGGAAAGAAATGACTGTATGGGGAAAGCGAAACGACATTGAGGGTATAAAGAAATGGAAAGAAATGGCTACCTGGGGAAAACGGAATGAAATAGATAATAAAAAGAAATGGAAAGAAATGACTGTGTGGGGAAAGCGAGACTTTATAGACAATTTAAAGAAATGGAAAGAAATGTCTGTATGGGGTAAGAGAAATGATATAGACAATACAAAGAAGTGGAAAGAAATGTCTGTATGGGGTAAGAGAAATGATGTAGACAATATAAAGAAATGGAAAGAAATGTCTGTATGGGGTAAGAGAAATGATGTAGACAATATAAAGAAATGGAAAGAAATGTCTGTATGGGGTAAGAGAAATGATGTAGACAATATACAGAAATGGAAAGAAATGTCAGTATGGGGTAAGAGAAATTATTTAGATAATACTAAACCGTGGAAAGAGATGTCTGTATGGGGAAAACGTAACTGGGATATGAATAGAAGTGAGATGAATTTGTGGAGGCAGAATGAGCAAGCAAGACTAGGGAAAAAATGGAAGTCCTTAAGTGCTTGGGGAAAACGAGATAGCATGACTGATTCTGACACCGACATTTCATCGCTAGGAAATCGGGACAGGGACCATATAGGATTTGTGAACAATGTAAGCACTCGAGATCCCAGCGAGGGCACAAATCTGGATAAAAAGTGGAGAGAAATGACCGTGTGGGGAAAACGAAGTATCCAGTCGCCTGAGGCAAGACTACCGACCCAGCTGCCTCTGTGGAGAACGTTAAGACGTGTTCGCAACTGGCGTGATATGGACGTTTGGGGCAAAAGACCAAGTTGGAGCAAGACGGGATTCACAAGTTGGGGCAAGAGATCAGCTGATTTTGATATGAACCCATCTACATATTTCCAGCATCAGCTGCAGTATTTGACAGGTAGGTCTTTGAACAACAATACATTTAGTGATTGTTGCGATGTCTCATGTACTATTTTTGTATGCATCTGACATTCCATTGTTGGCTTTTTATGTGTTCTTAAACTAAGTTTATTTAATAAGGAATTATTATACTCCAGGTTCTTCTTCTAATAGTCCATTATGTAAAGTGTTGGTAGCCATGTCTTTCAACAACCTTTAGTCTTCATCCAGTCGTTTCTGACATAGGTGATCTCTCATGTCACGATCCTGAACTATACAGCATTCTCTCTCAGAACTCCCTCTGTATCTCTGTGGAAGGGTACATGATATTCTCTCTCAGAACTCCCTCTTTATCTCAGTGAAAGAGTACAATACATTCTCTCTCATAACTCCCTCTTTATCTCAGTGGAGGGCCACAATACATTCTCTCTCAAAACTCCTTCTGTATCTCTGTTGAAAGGTACAAAAATTCTCTCTCAGACATCTATCTGTATTACTTTTGAAGGGTACACAAATTCTCGCTCAGAACTCCCTCTGTATTTCTGTGAAAGGGTACATGATATTCTCTCTCATAACTCCCTCTTTATCTCAGTGAAAGAGTACAATACATTCTCTCTCATAACTCCCTCTTTATCTCAGTGGAAGGGTACAATACATTCTCTCTCAGAACTCCCTCTGTATCTCTGTGGAAGGCCACAATACATTCTCTCTCAAAACTCCCTCTGTATCTCTGTTGAATGGTACACAAATTCTCTCTCAGAAATCCCTCTGTATCTCTGTGAAAGAGAACAATATACTATCTCTCAGAACTCCCTTTGTGTCTCTGAGGAAGCGTACAATACATTCTCTTTCTCAGAACTCCCTCTGTATCTGCGTGGTAGGGTAAAATTCATTCCTCTCAGAACTCACTCTGTATCTTTGTGGAAGGGTACACAAATTCTCTCTCAGAACTCCCTCTGTATCTTTGGGGAAGGGTACAATACAGTCTCTCTCAAAACTCCCTCTGTATCTCTGCGGAAGGGTACAATACATTTTCTCTCAGAACTCCCTCTGTATCTCCTTTGAAGGGTACAATACATTCTCACTCAGAACTTCCTCTGTATCTCCTTTGAAGGGTACAATACATTCTCTCTCAGAACTGCCTCTGTATCTCTGCGGAAGGGTACAATACATTTTTTCTCAGAACTCCCTCTGTATCTCTGTGGAAGGGTACAGTACATTCTCCATAAGAACTCCCTCTGTATCTCCTTTGAAGGGTACAATACAGTCTCTTTCGAATGGGCAGAAAGATGCATCAGCGTGCCAAGCTAACCCTTTAGAAATGAAGTCGTTTGTTGTTCTTTTTTTCCCTCCTTAACACCAGTTGTCTCCCTCTTACTGTGTGATCAAAATATATTGTCTGTTTTGATTCAAGTAAACAGTTTTTTTTCGAGTTAACAGAACTTGTATATATATATATATATATATATATATATATATATATATATATATATATATATATATATATATATATATATATATATATATATATATATATTAGGGCTGTACCGAATAGTGATTTTTACTATTCGGCCGAAAACGAATAGCTGGACTAACTATTCGGCCGAATACGAATACAAATAGTGAATCATCATCATCAGGTGCTTTGCCGATTGGCATGGGCGATTATGCCCTGCGACAATCTGTGATCTCCTGCAGCATGTATTATTTCGTGTGCTGACACACCCCCATGCCATGCAACAAGACTGTCAAGAATCTTCTCTCGTTGTCTTCCTCTATCCCTCCTTCCACATATCTTTCCAGTGGTCACCACATGTTCCATTTTCCCTCATCTTATAACATGGCCGAAAATGATGACTGTCTCCTTCTGATGTCTGTGAGTAGTCGGGCTCCCGCCTCTTTCAATACTTCTTGATTTTCTGTCCAATGTATTCTAAACATTCTTTTGTTAAACCACATGTCTGAGGACTCACAGCCAAATGTTAAAACTGGATGTATTTAGCAAGCAAGAATTCTTTTTCTAGCCTTCAATGACAGAGATATATTGCATAAGATGTTCTTCATTTTATAAAATTTAGTTTTTGCCTGTCCTATTCTGTTTCTTATTTGAGTAATGCATCTTCCATCTGATGTTATCCATGTGCCCAAATACTTACATTTCTGTACTTGTCCCAAAATAAAACCATTGACTTCTATTACACATTTAGGGATAATTATTTTCTTTGATAACACTATTACTTCTGTCTTCCCACTATTCAAACTGAGGCCCATTCTTCCACTTTCGAATAGTGTATAAAAACAGTTTTTTAAAAATCATTCTTAATGTCAAATGTACGCTGACATTTTACTTCACAAAATGTAAAACAGAATAATAAACATGTAAAAACATTTCATGTTTTGCATCCTTCAGTCAGTCAGTCTATGGTAACTAATACCTAGGAATGAAAGTATTCTTAGTTTGATAACAAGTAACTAAACTTGTAAATTGTCACTGACAGCTTAGTTAATTCATAAAAGCGGCATTAACTTTAAAATAAAAACGAATCGTTCCATGATGTCAGCATTAAGGCAGCTTCTTGTCTCACTGAAGGCATTTCCAGCTGTACTAAACAGATGTTAACTTGGTACGCTCGTAGGTGGTGCACAAAGATAACGCTTGACAGTATGAACCAAGGTGGGAAATTTCTATTTCTTAATTTTCCACCAGTCTAGAAACGGGTGTAAGGTAACCACTATTCGTATTCGGCCCGACCGCTACTAATACCGAATAGTTATTAGGTCCACTATTCGGCCCGGAAGCGAATACGAATCGAATATTCGGTACAGCCCTAATATATATATATATACCTGTCCATAATTCACCTGTGTAGTTGAGACCTTTCTAACCGCAGATGCAGGTTTGCAAATTTTGTGGCACATTGGGCGTTAGTCATTAGACCTGTGTTTTAAAGACGACCATTCAATATGGACGCTAACATCTTACCGGTGGATTTTACTTCCGATGACATTCCCTAGTACCTATTATTGGTTGTGTCGACCTAGGAGCCAAAGTTCCTTTTAGGAAAAGTCTAGTTTGCCCTATATAGAATCCACGGCCATCGGACAAGTAAACCAGGGTCCATGTCTTGCAAAACGCTGCCGGAATCAGTCAGCTCAGGAAATGAACCTTTTGCATACAACACACACACACACACACACACACACACACACACACACACACACACACACACACACACACACACACAATATAATTGATTGGTTGCTTTCTGAGGTAGTCTTAGATTAAATGACAGAGATTTTAAAACTCACATTTATGACAAAAAAATTTTCTTATTAGTATCTTTGGGATTCTTTTAACACTGTATCACGTGTGTGTGCGTGCGCGTCTCTCTCTCTTTTCTCTCTCTCTCTCTCTCTCTCTCTCTCTCTCTCTCTCTCTCTCTCTGTGTGTTTGTGTGTGTGCGCGTCTCTCTCTCTCTGTGTGTGTGTGTGTTTGTGTGTGTGCGCGTCTCTCTCTCTCTATCTCTCTCTCTGTGTTTGTGTGTGTGCGTTCGCGTCTCTCTCTCTCTTTCTCTCTATATGTGTGTGTGGGTGTGGGTGTGTGTGTGTGTGTGCGTCTCTCTCTCTCTCTCGCTATGTGTCTGTGTGTGTGTGTGTGTGTGTGTGTGTGTGTGTGTGATAGGACGAGCACATAAACTTCCCTACAATTCGTTCAACATCTCATGAATACACTTGCGAGCCATATCTCGAAATCTGCTCGTTAGATCGCAACGATTTTTTGCATGCAACCTTAGAACATCCATGACGCAAAAATAATGGTATCCATTCGTAGATAGATGCTCGGCATGCTAAAGACCAGCAAGTTCCTTTGATCTTTTCAAACCATTGTAAATAATTGGAGTAAACTTTTAGATTTTACAGTAAAAATCTAAATTTCTGTTTCTATTGTTTGTCAGAGACGTGCCTCCATAATTGATAGGTCAAGTGAATTTTTTGTGTTGTCTCTTATGTTTAACTGAGTTCAATTGAGCTGAGTCAAAAAAGACATCACACCACTTGAGGTATTCCCATATGCGCTCCGTTCCCACCTTCAGCAACCAGCACAGAGCTCCATTACTAATGGTAGCAGACGCGGTTTGGTTATATGTCCATCTTGCCATTCCTCTGAGTGTAGTGTGCCGGCCAGGCCCTCTGGTCACACCCAGGTGTATCATTCTCTCCAGGTGTCAGATTCATTCCGAATCTGACGATCCCAAAATCTTGATAAATGTTACTGACTGAACAAATTGTAATCCATCTCGGTGCCAGTACCCGTCTCTCTCTCGGAGCACATGTTAAACACACTTTATTTGAAATTAATGAATATATTTGAAAAGGACTTTTTTGAAAAGTCGATACTGCATTGTGATTTCAATGGTAATTTCAGTTTTTGGTGAGTAACAAGTTGATTTGTCTCTAAGATTTTTAAGATCTCACGTCTAATGACATCTACATCAAAGTCGTCAACTTACATTTTCCTTTCTTGCTTGACGAGTCTACTCTGTGTCCTGTCTAATCCAAAGGTCAAATGATGCTCTATCCAGACCAAGCGCCAATCGTCTTCGTTTATCTGGGTCATGAATATTAATGACCTATCACGTGACCTATTCCCTAAGAAATTGCTGGTACAGTAAAACTGTAACCTTCTGCATAGTTACAAACTTGCATCTCAAATTGATTTTGAAATTGAAGTCTGTCAGCTTTTATAAGCTGGCTATATGACACAATTACTCAACATTAGTTTTTGGATGGGCTTTTGACTGAACAACCTTGACCGACGTCCTATTTTTGCACGGGGTCAATAAGAGTGCGACTACACGAGAAAATAACCAAACTGCCTTGTTTCCTTTGACCCCGTGTTAAACCAGTCATAGTGTGCATTACTTCATGAAACTAAGGAACGTAAACCTTCCAAACGTCTACCAAGATGGTTTCATGATTGAAATATATATTGTAAACTACATATGATTTTATTCTTTATTGAAAAAAAAAAAAATATTTCCTGAACGCTAT